GTAATAAGACTTTTGAAGTGAAGTTTGATACTTTAAAATTCAGCCAACTCACAGACTTCCGAGTGTGTAAATAAACAGAGCTCACAAATCCATAACTGCGCTCCTTCATTTGTGCTAGTTGATTTTGCTGTGTAAAAAACCTAAAATTATTTAAATTATTTTACTCTAAAAAATATTCTATTATTAAATGTTTCATTGAAATATGGGTTGCAGATAAAAAAAAATATATCTACCGGTACTTGAAGATCTGCCAAATAGTCATGTTTTGCTATGTACCCTTTTTTATCCTCCATAAAAATAGTATATAGCCCTTCAAAAATCAATCAATAGCCAGCATATCTGAATAGTTTGTATACTAGAAATGAGATGGAATTATTCAGTATCTGTCCTGATTCACATGCCTTGTCAGGGTGGCATTTAGATTGCTTTTAGGTAGACCAGTCATTCTTGTCAATATTGTGAAATTGTTTCCATATGAAGCTGTTAGCACTTATTAACTATGTTTCAAATATAATTGGAAGGAAAAGGGTTACAGTATCAAACCAACACCCTCCTTGAAAATGTATTGCTTCTGTGAAACTAATACAATTGAGATAAAATGGTTCCTTGAAGTAATGCAGACAATTCATAAAAGGTCTTTTTTGCTAGGTTTTCAGCAGTCCATTGAACAGACTACTAATGATTATTTACTGTTGCATGTTTGGCCTTTTAAATCAAATATTAAACAATAAGGGAGATACAGTTCTGTAATTGATTGGATATGATAGAAGAACACAATAGATGGATGGCTAAAACTATGTATGTGGGGTTTTCTTTTCAAGATGTCCCTATACCAAGTCGGACTATCAGGACCATATATTTGATGATTTTGTCATTATTTGTATGTCTTTTTTCTATAAGAAGTCCCCCAAAGGGTGACTTGGGAATATTGTCACTCCAGTGGTCTTCTTCTGACCTGCTGGAAACCCCAATACACCCTAATTTTCCAGTGACAGTCCAAATTTCCATGATCTTCCTTCTGCACGGCCTTTCATACAGGACCTACCTATTGTATTTATTGTTAATTTGTTCTCGTCCTGAACATGTATGAAATATCTGTTAATGGAAGTTGAGCAACCAACAATCAATCTTGTAGTCTTGCACTGTTCAGTATGTTTGGTTATTCAATTCTGTTATCCCTTATATTTACATAAATTATTATTCAATTTCATGTTTGTCTAAAGTGACACATATACAAAGGTAACATTAGTTGTAAATTTTTACGTTACAATCCAAACCTTTACTTGCATGATTATTAATTGTAATTTTCATGCTAAAAATGTAAATAATACTTTGTATCATTCTTTTCTGCAAAACATGAATAATTCAAAACTATTTAAATGTCAAATTAATTATCGCAACACTGTTTTTAAAAATTGTGTATTGTACAATACATGCATTTAGATACATTACATCATTTACAATCAGTTCTTGTTTTATAATATATGCATGAACAATTCTATTGGTAAGATAATCAACTAATGCTTAAGACAACAAAGCCTCACGATTATTAAAACATTTTAATTACATTAAATAAAATATCTTGACGTAGATTGCATTCTTTGATATTGACACAACAATGAAAAGTGATCACTCATTCATACATGAACAAATGTATTTTATAAGATTCAGCAGCCTTTAAAACAAATGCCCTCACCTACAGCTATATAGCTGTAACTGAGAATTTACTGACTTAGTTTGGCATTAAACCTGTATGCTGCCACTCATAACAATAACAATGAAATTCAATAATATCCTGATCCGTGGTCCTAAAATCTTGATCCCAGAGACAAAAAAGTTGTTGTTTTCCAAAGAGTCATTCGTTTTAATATGTTCTAAATATAAGCAGCTGTTACGTCATCCTTATGCTTTGGATAATTTGGAATACAGCTGAAAAAGAAGGAAAAACATTAGAATCCATATATATATTTTGAAAACAAATATTGATTTGACTTGTGAATATATAATTTTTTGTACATGTATTTAGAGAAGACTTCATATGGCATTGTAATTAAACAATATGCAGAAAGATTATCAGTATTTATCCTCAGTGTACCATATATGTGAGTAGAATATTTAAATTTGAAAGACCATACTTGAATTATCATTATAGTGAGAGATAAGATTTGGTGATCATGCATTTTCATCCTTTGAAAATGTTATTTTAAAGGGAAACATTGAAATATATTTTACACACATCCATGCAAGGTTAAATTTTTGTGTCTTTTAACAGTTAATTTTTTTCATCAGAAACATATTTGAGAAAACAATGAACATTTCTAAGCGCATAAATAAAAAATATTAAGTACCATAAAATTTGTTAATAGTTGAAATTAAAACAAATGTATGTTATCATGGTTATACAATACTGGTACACATGTACTACTGTTTTGACTAATGGTACTATGTATAAATATACTCAAACATACCTGACCCACACACAACAAATATAAACAGAGCTAACAGCCATGGTCCAACTGGGTATTTTTCCTCTGCTGGTTTCTAAAATACACCAGAAAGATTTTCAATGTGGAATGCTACATGTATTTATTTTTTTTTCATAACTTAAAACTTGTGAATATTATATATGTACATCAGTACAAGCATCATTATCATAATATATTCATTTACTTGATGACACTTTTATTTTTTAATGTATAATCATGAAAATGTACATGTGTTTTGATGGTGAAATCTTTTTAGGGAAAATAACTACATGTATGTCAAATAGCCTCTTGGAATTGATACAAAATTAAAATGACTCGACTGAAATGAAAGTTTAATTAAAGCGATCTCAGATATGACAGCAAATACACAATGTACCTACTTTTTTTAGCTTGTCCCTGCTAGAAACCAAAACAACAACCTTATTTAAGAATAATTGAATCTACTTATAATAAGAAATGACTATTGGAAGATTGAAAACTTGAAATGCAACTGAAGGAATATATTTTCTCCTATTAAACAGTTGTAAACTATAGATCATGGAATGGCGAATTTCAACAAAAATGCATGTGGTGTCGTTCTTAACAAACCACAACTCTCATTGAAGTATCAGAAAACAAGAACTACATTTTGCTGACTAACAATTATCAAACCCAAGCTGCTGACTAAATATGCAATGATTGATTGACTAAATTTAATTATTGTTTGCTTTACATCCAGTGGCAAATAGTTCATTTATGTTGAGAACAAGACCAAAATTGAATCCTAGCTGTCAAGAAGTACTGGATAATTGTGTGATGAAAAATTATAAGTTCATCATATGCAAACAGGAAGTACATTTAAGTGTTTGAAAGATCCTGAAGCATTTGTAAAGTGTGCTCAAATGTTAAAACTCCTTACTGTGATGCTGCCAGTTGAGATCTAAAACTAACTTTAAAGTGAACCTGCTAGTTGATTTTAAACAAATTTTAGTTTAAGAAACTTTATATCCTATTTAGCCGGGTGAGACCAGTTGTCTAAATGGGTTGGTGTTATCCGGTAAGAAATTTAAAGCCCAAATGAGTAATACACTTATATGCAAACATTTATTGAAATGAAAAATTGCATTTGTTTAGATAACCAGATGTAAATTTTGATGTGACTTTTCTAGAAACTGAATAAGAAAATTGTTAACCAAAATGTGTTGCCTTTTATGAAATCACTTGCACTTTGTAATATTTTCCATAAAATCCAGAATTATTTTTGGCATAGTAACTTTATTCCATTAGGGATATTATATCCCAAAATTTAACATGTTACTTGGAATTATAGCCTTTTCTTACAATATAGGAGACCAATACTTTAAGGTTTTGTACCATACTGATCACTAAATATATAATTTATAAACATAAAAATTTACGACTTACTTCTTGAAAACATATTTATTTCAACTGAATTTTGGAAAGACTTCCATTTAAACCCACCTGGTTAACAGATAGCAAAATACACAAGTAAAAGGAGGATTCAAATGGAAGTCTTGCCTGCATTCCTTGACAAAAATAACTCAGTGATTATAAAACTAAAAGCAGATAATCATTCCTTGGTTGATTAATTCTGTTATAAATCACAAATCAATATTGGTTCAAAGTTTCTAAGATCTACAAGAAAAATCTGAATGCATTAACGCAAAAGAGTATATCATATACACATAACATACATGTATGTTTACTCTTTGGTGTCATGCATTCTAAATAAAACCAAAAGGTATATATATGAAGAAAGCCCATTACTGCATTAGGTACCAAGGTGTTTGTTTGGTATGAAATGGCAAATATATGGCACAAAATGGGTATTTTTCTGGGTACAGATTAGGTGGGTGGCCTAATCAGAAAATCACTTTGACACAGAATCCCAAAAGGGCTTATCAATATAGGTGACTGGTCCTGTCAGATTGACGTGGTAACCGGATTGGTTACTTACTACATCTTCGCAATGGGTTTACCACGGGGACAATCACAGATTTAAGTTACACTTGTGTTCAGATGTAGAAACTTTGTTAAAGTATTTCAATTGAGAGTATATAAGGAAAAATCACAAGCAGTGACAATTTGTTCACCGATATATACAGGTTTACACCGAACAGCTGTTTTGAAGTTAAAGTTCAAAAATTATTTATAAGCTCACCAAAGATTTTGGAACATTTCCTCGTGTATTTATATTTTTGCTGTGCTTTTCATTTGCAAGTCTCATTCTTTGTTTTGTGGCAGGCATGATGACGGTTTCAGGTGTTGAATCTGACTGTAATGTGTAAATGATTTCGTGCGAACACTTTACACGTCACTTTTCATAACAAATTGTGTGGAAAAAGGAAGTGTTAAAGTGTCGCGTTAAAAATCATTACGCATATTGATATAGTTCTTTCAAGTGGCTAAGTGAAAGCTGAAGATTAATCATTTTATATCGATATTTTAATTCCAACAGATAGTAAATAATTTTAACAAATGATTCTTCTTGTAACATTTTATTGGAATATTAAAAGTGTTTTATCTTTTTAGGATAGTTAGCGTACGAATTTCATATTTACGTGTCACATAACTTGTTCTCGGACACTTACCTCCTAGCAATGTAACTCCACTTGTATGTCGAAGGGTAACTTCCAAAGGGTATCGAAGCTACAACAACTGGTTTTAATGTGTACTCTGGTTACACCCTTTAATCTATTACGATAAGAAATATTATTGGGAACCAGGTGATTAAAGATGGCGCCGCCCATTACACGTGAGTGCCAGCTTTATCAGATTATGCTGGAAATGATACCGATACACAGATAGAATAGCAAACTGTCTAATAAAATTTATTTCTCAACTCATTTCTTTGAAAAAAAAAATAAAAAATATAATGAAACCTCTGTGTTGAACAACAACAGTTCAGTAAATCTACTATCAGAACTGTTAGGAAATATAAAATATATATTTATATATATCATAATTTTGTTTGCTCGATTGGCATATAATAAGATCAAGAAAAAATTATCCCCTTTGACATTATTCAAATGACTCAAAGGTTTCTGCCTTAATACTTGGAATAGCTGTGAACATTTCAGACACAATTTGGAAAATAAAATATCTTATCATAATTTCAACTTCTGCTAAAAAAAAATTCACATTAGTACATTACCATGATTATTGTAAAAAACTTTGTGTTATAATTTTAGATATCTCAGATATAAACTGAATGTATTACAAAAATACAAGAATGCAAGAGATTGGCATTATGCAAAAATTTGTGATATCTGGTGGCTGATGTGATTTCATTGAAAATGTTCAAGTACAAATAAAATTTCATTGTTTCAATAAACATGATAAATCACAAAAAATAATTAAATTATACATTTATTTTGAACATGCAATACCCTAACAAGCAATCAGATTCCCATGTTTATAACATCATATGTTTGCTATCACAAACAGAAAAAGAATTACCAACCATTGTACCAATACCACCATTTCATCATGTTCATAGTTCATAAGTTTGTTGTTACTGATGATGAAATTGAGGTCAAGTCTGATATTGTTGATTTTCCCTTTTGCTGTTGCCGTGTTGGGAGGTATTGCTCTACATTGCTTTAACAATGTCACTAAATAAATGTAATACTGTAAAAAACCTGTCTGCTGTAATTTTTTTCCTAATATCATGAAAACTATAATGGAAAACCATGAACTCTGTCAAGAAAAACAATCAGCAAGACAAGATTTTGGTTCATACACTACAGTTTCCATTCAACCCAAAATATTTTTGTTGCATTGTACAAATGTTATTTAACAATTCCAGGTGAGCAATTCAGGCTCCATGAAGCCTCTAGTTTTAAGTTTATATATTTTTTTGTTTCAGTTCGTGGGAGTGATGGTATTTGGATGGTAAATGGACCACCCACACTAGGATCTCGTCCAGATTTCCCAGGGTAACTGATAATATAATTGCACTTAATTGCAATTATGATATATATTTAGAATATCTTTATTTTGTAATTTTGTTCATGTTATTGAGATTTTGCAAATACTAATACTTTAAAAGAAGTTTGCCAAATCTCAAAAGTACTTGCAGCACTAAATCCATTTTTTATTACAACTCTTTCAAAGCAGCACTTTCCTCCTTAAAAGTTCTATAAACAAAAAGAATTATATGTTTTTAACCGGATTTTCAAAGTAAAAATCAGTTATTGATTTGGGGATGTACGGCGGGCGGGTGGGCGGACGGGCAGCTGCCAAACAGTGTCTCTTCAATTACATGAAAACCCTTTGACAAAATTTTTTCAAATTTAGATAAGTTGTTTCCTGTGTCTAAATAAAGGTCAAGTTCAATTTTCACGATTTTAGCTTTTCTCGTTTGTGAGTTATCGCCCTTTTTAATATCCATAAGTGGTATTTTTTGTGATTGAGTTATTTTCCTTTGAACAGAAATTGTTAATTATATACATAAAGTTTGTTAACACTAAGCCTTTATAGATAATTTTCACCTGTTTATATGTCCTGTTATCAGTTTACTAAACATATGGTTAATGTCTTATCTTGAGTGACAGATTTATTTGCAAATTTTCTGTTTTCTAAGTGTTGATGATTAAAAGCTATATAGTAGTAAATATAGTTAGAAATTTACTGTTCATTATTAGACATTTTGAAGATAATTACAGATAAGTTCTATAGATTTTTAAAAGACATTGTATTAATGATAAATAAAATTTTTGATTTTTTTTTCTTTTCTTTGGTAAATTGTAAATTGTTTATTATTCTGTAAAAACCAATTTTCTGAATGCTATATATATTTTTTTGATTAGGTGAACTCCTTTGAAAACTTAGCTTATATTGTCTATTAATAAACATATATTTAGATTTCTGATTTTGGGCCCAGTTTTCAAGTTGGTCCAAATCGGGGTCCAAAATTAAACTGTGTTTGATTTCAACATAAATTGAATATATATAGGGTTCTTTGAAATGCTGAATCTAAACCTGTATTTATTTTCGTTATTAGTTAGATAATACCACATCGAGGTACAAAGGGTCCTAAATTAAACCTTTGTTTAATCAACAATTGAATTCTTGGGTTCTTTGATATGCTGATTTTAACAATGTTTGAGTGTTAAATCATATGTAATTTTAGAGAACTTAGTCATCATTGGTTGTTGTTATTATATTATGGATTATATTTTGAAAAATTACATCATATCTAATTTTATAGAACTTAGTCATCACTTTATTGATTATAATCATATCTATTTATCCAATTTGAGTTATTTCCCTTTGCACAGAAAATATATGGATAAAATTAAATTGTGTTTCATTTCAACTTAAATTAAATATATATAGGGTTCTTTCAAATGCTGAATCTAAACCTGTATTTAAATATTAGATTTTTGGGCCCAGTTTTCAAGTTGGTCCAAATCAGGGTCCAAAATTAAACTTTGTTTGATTCACAAAAATTGAATTTATGTGGTTCCTTGAAATGCTGAATCTTACCATGTATTGAGAGATTTTGGATTGTGAGCTCCTTTATCAAATTGGTCCACATTGTGGTCCAAAGGTTCCTAAATTAAACTTTTGTTTGATTTCATCAAAAATTGAATTTTTGGAGTTCTTTGATATGCTGATTCTGACAATGTACTTAGATTTTGGATATTGGACCATAATAGGTAAATGTCCAATTTCAAATATTTCAGTTCTTTGACCACATTCATTTTGTGTCACAAACCTATGCTGTGTCAAATATTCAACCACAATCCAAATTCAGAACAGTTATAAGCTTAAATGTAGTGTCCATACTTGCTCAACTGTTCAGGGTTTGACCTCTGCAGGAAAATCCGGTTTGCTGTCACTCTGACAGCCTCTTGTTTCTATTTTACTTGTTTATTTTGATTAATTGAATAGACATACTTTTCTTGTCTAGAGTCTTAAACAGGAAAGATATGAGTCTAAAAGAGTCATGACAGGGTGAGATGTATATAAAGGGAATGTGCCTCTTTTATTTAAATGGTCAACAACAAAAAAACAAATGTGAAGTCGTGTATAAAGTAAGCAGGATTTCATTATGCCCTGCCACAGCAGAGAGGGCATTAAGTGTTACCCTTGTCCTTCTGTACATCCGTCTATGTACATCCCAAAATTAGTTTCCGTTTTCTAACTTTAGTTTTCCTCAACCAAATGTTATGAAACTTATACACAATGCTTATTACCACAAAACACAGATCAAGTTTGAATTTTGGTGGCATCACTTTTAACTGTTCTTGAGTTATGTCCGTTTATAACGTTATATGCAAACGGGGGCATCATCTGTGTCCCATGGACACATTCTCCATTTATTTTCTTCTGTAATGTACCATTCATAAATAGAACACTTAATTTATATCAAACACAAATCAGCTGAGAAAAACAACGTGAAAATACTTTAAACAATTAAGTTTTTAATTGATTTAATGTTTTTCTTTTGCAGGGAAACCAGTTCAAAGACTAAAGTAGTAGTTTTCAGTTCTGATGGGACGCTTTTAGCATGGTGTAATGGTGACAGGTAAATTCATTAGTTGTGATCATAGACTAAGTGTACCATGACTGTGATCATTGAACAAGTGTACCATGACTGTGATCATAGAATAAGTGTACCATGACTACTCATAGAATAAATATGAATAAGAAGATGTGGTATGAGAGCCAATGAGACAACTCTCCATCCAAGTCACAATGTTTAAAAAGTTAACAATTATAGGTCAAAGTACGGCCTTCATAAAATTAGTTTTAGACATGACAAATTTCAATATTTTCATATGTTTGATTTTTACTATTATTGTTAGTTTTGCCTATTATTCATAAGATTAACAATTTTCAAAACTATGAACCTTGTTGATTTGTCAAATTGATTTTTGGGTAAAGATTGCATGAAAAGCAAACAAGACCCTATGGTACTGACTTGATATCTGTATCTTCCAAGGTTTATCACTACCTTTGATAGTTCAAACAAAATAGTTCTGTGAAGTGAAGTGATCATTATTTAGATCCTATCCAGTCAATGTCATGAAATTTATTGAAGATATGTTATTTCTCGCTGCATTGAAGACCCATTGGTGGCCTTCGGCTGTTGTCTGCTCTATGGTTGGGTTGTTGTCTCTTTGACACATTCCCCATTTCCATTCTCAATTTTATACTTTGATATTTAAGTTACAATATGACGTGTATTTAAATTACCATACTTGTGAATAAAATATTTTTTGTTAAAAATTAAAAGTACTGCATGGTGTATGAATCTGTTATAGAAATAGGTTCAACTACAAATGTACAATCATGAACAAAGGAAGAGAGCTCCAACTTTAATTTTTATTTTGCCTAGCATGTTTTATTTAAAAATTCACAAAATTGCAAAATGAAAGCAATCTTTACCCTCACAAGCACTTTGATTATATTAAAGTGCATATATACCAAAACTGAAAAATTGATATGTAGGATCCAGTGTTCTCCACACAGTCCTCAGTATTTTTAAATAACACTTTAGGACTTGATATTACACTGTGTTCCTAAAATAAAAGCACCACATATATAAATAATATACTCTATTAAAAAATCTATTTAGAGATAGCACCATGGAGAACAAACGACAACCACTAGGCCTAGTATATAAGGATGGAAGTTTGAAATGGAGGCTTGGCATATAGAAAAGTTTTTTTTTAAGTGAAACTCAGTTTTATAAACGACCGACATAGGCAGTAACTGAATTCATGAAAAAATTAAGAAACATCAAAATTACAGTAGAAAACTTGAAACCAGCAATGGATGAAATTTTTGTGTACATTTAGATATATACCAAGGTTGCTAATGTCTTGGAAAACTTTGATTTATGATATGAAATAAATTCCAACTGCTTTAGGAAGTGTAGTCCTATGCAGTAATGAGTACCACTACATTTGAATTCTGTCATCCACCAAATAAAATTTATATATTCTAAAACCTTTTTAGTGTCAAAGTTGTGAAGACACCAGATTACCAACAGTTGTGGGATTTACCTCACGCAAAAGTCCAGTGTATGAAGTTTTCCCCGAAAGGCAGTATTTTGTTAGTATGGGAAAATTATTCAGGTAAATTTCATAAGTGCATTTTAAGTTAAAAAGGAACCTGTTTCTTTGTTTTTTTCTGTCAAGGCAACACAAAATCATACCGAGAAATGTATATGCATTAATGTGAAATAAACATATGTTGGGTATGATTCCATGTGATAACAAACCAAAAACTCAAAAAACTTAAAAATCGTTACATCTAGAGGTCAAAAGAGGATATTCAACACAAGACAATTGTTTACACCAAACAAAATGCTCTTAATTATCAATAAGCAAGTTGTGAATAAATTTAACAGAGACTGCCATCAATGAACAAAGATCTGCCATAAACACCAGATTCATAAAAGGACAAAAAGAACCACAATAAAATATAACTAGAGACTACATATACAATGTTCCTTACTAGAATAGACACCAAATTCTGTAATTACCAAAATCATAATGCATTTAAAACTTATTTTTAGAGTACTTGACCCTCCCTTTTTGATCAGTGAAATAACAGCAGGTACAAAGAATTAATTGTATATTTGTATGGTTTTATCATAAGATGTAACAGTTCAAGTTTTGGTTATCGTTTGGTTGAACAACTTTTTAGCTATTTCCCTTGGTCCTCAATTTTGAGTTTAGTTGGAGTTGAGAAATTTTTAATGGATTTCTGTTCCTTGGACATAGAAAATTGCTTGAATAGAACAGTTCTCCACATTTATTGTCGCACCTTCTTGACTGATGGAGTCAAAAAGCGAGGCATAGGTATGCTGTTTCTGGCGTGATCAACAATGTATTAGTTTATGACTAGGTCAGTTTATGGGAAACCACTAGTGGTAGGTAAATGATATTTGGTTTGCAGTTGTAAATGCATTGGCACATTTTATTTCCGTGGAGATTATTTGGCCCTGCCCCCTCAGACATGGTCTATTGCCTTTCAAACTTTTACTTAGTTTACCCGTATTAGTTTGTGATTAGGTCAGTTTATGGAAAACCACTATTGGTAGGTCAATGATATTTGGTATGCAGTTATATTAATATTGGCACATTTCATTTCCATGGAGATTTTTTGGCCCTGTTCCTAAGTCATGGTTCATTGACCTTGAATATTTTGCATAATTACATGTTAAAGTATTGCTATTTTAATTTCAATATTTGCATTTTACCTTCAAAATAACAAAAAAGGCGTGACTAACTCTGTGTTAACAGTTTATTTCTATAATGCCTGATTAAAATGTTTTAAGTTGTTTCCTTGAAGATGGAAAATTGCTTTGAAATATTAGATCTTTTACAGAAATAAAAACCCTTATGCTTTGGGGTTGGGTTGGGCTTGTAGTTGTTAACAATATCAAAATTGTTACATAAATAATCTGACCCAATTAATGATAAGATGGAAATTTCCAAGTACGTCAGCTTGTCCCATATAAGAGTTATCTCATCCAATGTAAACTTTACAGCTGATAGTGGACAGTATTTTGAATATGCAATACACTCAGACACAAATGTTAGAATGTTATTTTCTGGTGAATAAAACTTAAAATTTGATTCAAAAATTTAACTCATAGAATTACACATTTTTTGTCCATAAAGAAGCAGCAGTGATAAAACACAAGATATGAAAATTCATGGCCATGAAAATTAAAGTGTTCACTTGAGCAGTGTCTGTAAGGTATTTATAACAAATTGACTTTAATATCATTTTTGTCTTGCCTGCAAAATTAGTTAGGAATATGTAGGCAGCAATAACAATTGTTCAAGTTTGTGATTAGGTTACACAGGCAATGTTTTAACAGTTTATTTGTGATAATCTTTTATATATATCTGATCTTTTTGAATTATAGAAACACAAACTTAAGAAACTACATTTATGTTTCAGTAAATCAAGAAACACAACAGGGAAATGCAAATTTACATATATACAACATGCAAACTGGCAAATTGTTGAAGAGTTTGATTCAAAAGAAACAAGCAAATTGGTAAGAAATTTAATACAGGAGACTACCTAATCGGATATTGGCTAAATTAATATATTGGCTATTGTAATATTACTTCAAAACACAAAGCACTTTCCTATATGTTTAATGTAAATTTTATCCTGTAATCCAAAATCGGATACAAGAATATATCAGCAAATCGGATAGGAATATTCACGAAAAATTTGGTCAAAACCATGCACAATTTTCAATGTTTTTCTGACAAGAAATGGACCCAGTAGTTATGCAATTAATATCTTGCAGACAAGGACCGCCACAATGGTCTCGCATGTTCGCCTGCAGTGCATGAGGTCGTGGGTTCGAACCCCAGCCAGGTCAAACCAAAGACTTCAAACTTGGTATTTGCTGCTTTTCTGCTAAGCATGCGGCATTAAGTAGTAAAAGCAAAGACTGGTCGGCTCGAAATCAGAATAGTGTGTCCAGGTAAGGTGACATGTCTTCCTGTGGACTGTTACCTCGTGAACTAGCACGTTGAAAATCGGCTCAGCGTGTCGGTCTAGTAAAAAGCAGGGTAAATATTCATATTACATTAATATGTTCTCGTCCTGAATATGCGTATTAATTTGCCGCTGGACTTTAAGCAGCCATCCATCATCATCATCATCCTGCAGACAAGAAAAACAATTTATTCTTGATAATTTGTTGTCTTAATTCATTGTCGTCCTTTGTAATTTGCATTATATGCCCTTACAGTTCAAATGGTTTGAATTTATTTATAAATACCAGTGCAGTACGTTGGGAGAATTTTGATAAAACTCTAGTGTTTACAGTATCAGAAATATAATTTATACTGAATGTACCTCCTTCTGAATAATTTATTGCAATATAGATATCATCTTCGCTAGCCAAGGGTTACGATCCACTTCCCTCCTCTCCACCCTTGGCAGATTAAGCCAACATTTGTGATAACAATGTTGCGCCATCTATCGGTAGATTTAAGTCACGCCCATTCCGAATACATTATTCTTGACCAATGGTAGCACTTGAACTCTTCAATTTGGAGGTAAAAACACGGTAGCGTCTAGATTCTACACACTTGGGAAAGCAGGAAACGAAAATATACGTTGACATTCATGCATTTGTGCAAGAAACATACACAGGAACTTCTATTAATTGATTAAAAACATTCAAATTGTCACTAAATATAGTCGTATGTTTAGGGATGTAAAGACTTGTTGCACAATAAGCACGTGGCAATTGTTTACATACACTTTCTACATTTACATGTGATCATGTTATAGGCGCTTTTTGATTGGATGCAGCGAGTTTCAACTGCAACCAATGAAAATCATTACCTTGTGTCTCCGAAATTCTATCTCAATCTGCCAAGGGTGGAGAGGAGGGAAGTGGATTGTAACCCTTGGCTAGCGAAGATGTATAGGTATAAATCCCTTTTGGGTAGAGAAATCTGACTTTTGTCAGATATAATAATGTAACATGTGCTTGACCACAGGTATATTTATATTCATTAAATCTTCTGCAATAATAAGTAGACCTAATCTTGAGATGTTATTAGCCCTGACCACTGCTATATAAAAGGGTGTCTTTACAGGGATCCAGTGTGGACGAACGATGAAGGAATCTGTTGCCGAAATGTTAATAATGAACTTCACTTCTTTGAGAATAATGATTTTGGTAAGTCCCTTAAGATTCATAATGAAATAAAAAAAAACTTCGGCTTTTAATTTATAACCGTTCATTTACCGATGAACAATGCTATCTTTTTAATATCAATCATTGTTATAACAAATGTATAAGGCACATGTAAATATAATTTTGTTCGTTCATATAAATGTTGATCCAATGTTGTATAAATGTCTAAATCCTAACCATGCTAACTGCTACGTGACTCAAAAATAGGGCATTAACGAAAAAATCTCTGCAGTGATATTGGTACATGTTTCAATTTTTAACAAGTGACTAAGCTTAACAATTTGTACTGATTTAAAGAGCAGAGGACCATAGAATAAAGGTGTAAAAACTATGGAGTTATTAAATGTATGCAAAGAACTAAATTTTCCAAGAACTTATTGTGTGAAAAAAAAAAGATTTTTTTACCTCGAAAAGACACATCACAGGGGGCTTTTCAGGGGGAAGGAAAAATTACAGAAAAAACAAATCTCAATTCGTACCCCGAAAATTTAACCACAAATGTAAAAATGTCTCAGCTTCGAAACAAGCCATCATACATATCCAACTTTACAATATGGGCTGAGGAATTGAGATAAGGGCTACCATTACCACCTACCTGAAATGAATTGCGCATCTTGACCCAGCTAGCACATTGAACATCAACTCAGAAAGTCAATTTAGTACAGGCCAGCATATAATCATCTTACTTTTTAACATGTCTTATTCTTAAAGTTTTGTGTATTATTTGCCATTGGATTTTATTTAAGAATAGATTGATCAAATATAGTTTAACAAATGACTAAGTTTTGGGCATATCTCCAGAATTTTAAGTTTGTTGCAACAGTATACAAGGGCATGACTCTTCTTATACAAAAGCAGCTCACCTATTCAGAAAGACTTTGATTTGTATGTATGAAATAATTTATATATATATATATATATATATATATATATATATATAAACAAGTCTAAATTGAAAACAACGTTCAAACCTATGATTGCGTTGGATAAAAACCGCAATTTTTAAACGTGAGCATGCAAAACAAATTTCTTGTTCGAAGGGTCTAAATACAGCACAAACAACATTTTCCAAAAGACCAAAAAAGGGAAAAAGTATATTTTAACAAAACGCATTTGACTAACAGGTCGAACAACAAATGTTCTTAAACCCTGCTGACTGCCATTGGCGATTGCCAAATAAACAGATCACCGATGTAATAAATGGATCTTAATTATAAATTTAATACTAAACAGAAAACAATAAACTTGCAGAAAAGATGGTATACCGCAAACAAAAGGTGCAAAGGTTTTTGTACACCATATCCGGATTTCGACAATTAATGTCTCCTCAGTGATGTTAGGAATCGAAACGGTATTTGGAAAGCCATACAATTTACCTCAATTTAGGATAGACTCTTGAATTTTGAGGAGTCAAAATAGGATGAACGGATCATATAAACCCAAAGGCAAATATAATACAAGCCCAAACGAAAAAATATAAACAAGTCTAAATTGAAAACAACGTAATATATATATATATATATATTAACAGATAGTATTAAAACAAAGTTACACATGCAGAAAGTGTCAAGTTTTGCTTTAGCTGTGAGTGGCCCTCCATATTATGTAGCTGGTTATGTACCGGGAAGTAAGGTGAGTCTGATTCATGTTTGTAGATTTTTAATTTTCCTAGATCGATAATTCTTGATAGACATTTTTGGCCTTTGGGAGGTGATATTTTGGGGTTTTTTCTTTGCTTGAACAGACTCCTGCATGACAAAATGGGTCTCAATTCAAAAGAGAAACCAAAAGCCTGATTTATGTTAAAAGTGATCTAAAAACAAATTTGACAGAGATCAACAGCCAATGACAACCATTGAATTATAGGTTCCTGTTTTGGGACAGGTACATAAAAGATGTGGCAGGGTTAAACAATCTTAATTTACATCTTAACCAATAACATGTTTAAAAAAAACTAAAGATTAACAATTTAATTGAATTTAGTCTGCTAATTTGTTATTTTGACAATTAAAGATAATCTTATCCTCAGGATATATCCTTTCATTTAACTTATTTAATAAGTACAAGAATATCCCTTGATTATAATGCCAAAGGCAATATACATTTCTTCCTTGCAAACTGCTTATAGAGTAAAACAATTGATCATTTAAGTGCAAAATGTATATGTATATTGTAAGGTCCACATTCTGTTTGTATACCTTGTCGTATTCTATTGTACACTCTAAAATAGCATTGAAAGTTCACAATAAAGACACAGAAACAGTTTGTCTGACGTCATGTTAACAAACGTTCATTAAATGTTTAATACATTTCAAACAATTTTGGTGCAATGATGGTGAAAAGTTAATTTGCACAATTAAAAGAATGATTTTACCTGCAGTTTTGGTTTTGATATTTGCATTAAATCAATAAAAACTTTTAAATTGCTGTATTGAATATGGTCTCCATTGTTCTTGTATTATATTAGGACTAGTTGTCAAATTAGAAAATCTTAAATTTTCTGTAATAAACTGGAATATAGATAATATATGATACATGTAATTATGTATAATATTGCTTTGCTTTATTTTATTCCACTTGTTTGCAGGGACAACCTTCATTTATTAGATTATATAAATATCCTAATTTTGGTGGACAACAAGCAGCCATTGCTAATAGAAGTTTTTATAAAGCAGAGGATGTGAAGATGTTATGGAACAATGCAGGAACAGCATTATTAGCTTTAACTTCTACAGAATTATCTGATCAGTCATATTACGGTGATCAAGGATTACATTACATGAATATAAATGGTGATGCATGTCTTGTACCTAGATGTAAGTCATATTAGAGCATTAGAAGAGGTGAAATAATATAATTTGATATACATATGTGACATAGGTACACAACTCTAATAGGTGACTTGACATTGATATACATATGTGATATTCATTTTGACAATTGGTGTCTCTTCAGTGCTGCTCCAAGGCAAAAATATTTCAAAACCTAATATAAGCCTTGATGAACTGATAAAGCCAAAAAGGACCAAAAGTAAATCTAAACCTTGACAAGGAATCAGAGCTTTGCATGAGGGAGATACAATAGGTACACAACTGTAATGGGGGACTTGAGATATTAAACAGAAAGAAAAAAAGCTTAAGCCAGACGTTGATTCAGTTATTCTGTTTCAACTCATTGTTTCAACTCGCCGCAATGAACAGCAAACAGAAGCCTATTCTTATTAGGCTGATTTTCAGTGTAAAAAAAAGCATAGCACATATTTTATAAGCATTTTGGCATGACAAGTCATGTTATGATATCTAATTACCAGAGGTTGGCTGGCAACTATGACCCAAGGTGTTAATTGAGATGGCTTTTTTGTAACTTAGGGATATTTTCTTCATTGATGTGATGTCCAATATATTATTTTATTTCAGCAAAGAATGGACCTATTTATAATATTGCTTGGAGTCCAAAGTCCACAGAATTTTGTGTTGTGTATGGATGTATCCTTTTCTACTTGTAAAATGTTATTTCTTATGCATCTTTCTATGCCTTGTTATAAATGATTATATTTCAGAAAGGAGTAGGGGCATTAAGGCATTAAGGCATTAAGGCCCGGTTTTGGCCCAAGAAAATAAAATGTTTGACAACTATTTCAAATTGGCACATAATGTTTGGAAATGCATAGAGTGAAGAAATATAAATGAAAAACATAAGATTGTTTATATGATGACGTCACAGTTACGTCATAATATGTACCGTTTTCATGAAAAAGATGAAAAATGCAGAATTTGTGCAATTTTCCATCGTTATTTCTATTACGGAAAAACATCATGCGCAGCCAAGAAACATCAAAATAATTTAAGAGAAGCTTTATGATAACTATTGAAATAATCTCACCAAATATAAAGTTGTTTCTTGGGTGCGCACATACTTTGCCAATCTTGAATATACTTAGAATTTGATGAAAAACAAGGAAATTCAAGAAATTTTATAAAATATACAAATTTCTTCATGGTTTGTTGCCATGGTAGCTTGTTTAATGTGAAATTTGTTTTTATTTTCTGAAAACCTTGTACCTTAGTCTAGTTAGGACAAATTTAAGGATATGTATGATAACTTTTAAATTTGCAGTAATATTTGGGCCAAATATTGGGCTTATTGCCCCTGCTCCTTTATATACATCAATAAGAACTTCAGGTTAGTTTTCATTGGGACTGATAATAATTGAAACATTGAAAATTTGTATCATTCTGACACATCTAGTTACTGATATGTGACAGACATATGTCTTGTTATTTTAGGAAAGATGATGATTGATAAATTTGTAATACATACTTTTATTATAGTTTAATGTCTTAGTAAAAACTTACCTTCTGATAGCGTTTTCAAAAAAGTATACAATTATTAATTTGTTTTATATTTTCTTACAGTTTTTCATTGTACCAACTGAAAAAAATTGGAAGCACAAAATTCTAGAAATAGATTTGAACCAACATATTTTAGATTTTTTCTGAAAAATACTATGAGTTACAACTTAATATTTTTAAAAGTTACACTTGTTCTTAGATTTCTTAACAACTGTCAGTTATGCCCGCCAAAGCCACATTGTACAACATGAAGACAGAACCTATATTTGATTTTGGAACAGGACCAAGGAATTGCTGTTTCTACAATCCACAAGGGAACAATATCCTTGATTATTTAATAAAAACAAGACACAATTATTTGTCTGTAAATTTGTATAATATATAATTGATAAGAGGAATTACCAAAAATATTGGACAACAGACCACCCCAACCAACAACCCCTAACTCCTCTGGAGAAAAAAATGTAAAAACAAGAACAAACACCACTTTGGACAGCCTGACTTGGTACTGACACACAATGTGGTTAGGTTTAACCAGTCTTACTTCCACATAAACCTCCCTTTTTGCCTATATAGATCTCATTCATAGTCTTAAAAATGCACAATAAAACAACCTGCATATTCTATTTACCAACAAGGAGACCACAAACTTGAATAAGAAAATAAAAGACAACACACAATTTAAAAAAGAATTGAGGCAGCCTGTCGACATAATTTATGTTTTGGAAATTACAGTATTTTAATGAAAAATGTTATTGCTTATTTAAATTAAGTTAAGGTCAGTAAGTTTTATATTCAGTTGAAAGCAATTCTGGAAAAAGTCTATTATATTTTATATGAAAATAAATGGTTTTTTTCAACTTGCATTATTAATGAAAAGATGTAAATCTACAGAAATCTGGAGAACTGTTGACTTTAAATAATTATGGAAATGAAGGAATGACCATCATCATCATCATTTAGCTTGACATGTAGGTTAAATTGTTTCCTTAACTGAGACACTTTTGTGTCTGGCAGGATTTGGCAATTTAAGAGGAAATTTGGAGTTTTGGGATGTCAAACAAAAACGACAGATTACTCAAACACAGTCTCCAGATACTACAAGTTTTGAATGGTGTCCTGATGGTGAACATATACTAACATCAACTTGTTCTCCAAGACTCAGAGTAGCTAATGGGTGAGATTATCTTTCAATGTCATGGTTTATCTAATAATAAATATGAATATACAGAGATAAGAGATACATCAATGAGACAGCAATCCACAAACAAAAATAACAGAAGGACATCTAGAGAGCAACATACAGTCTAAGTATTGTATACAATATGGGTTTGGATATTTTTGAAGGCCATACTGTGACCTATAGTTTGTAAAATCCCGTCATATGGTATCTGGTAATCACGCCACATCTTCTTATTTTTTGCTAACCTGGCCCACAGGGCCAAGTGAGTTTTTCTCATCACTTTTTGTCCGTCATAGTCGTTAACTTTTACAAAAATCTTCTCCTCAGAAACTACTGGACTAAATTTAACCAAACTTAACCACAATCATTATTGAGGATATCTAGTTTAAAAAATGTGTCCGATGACCCCGCCTGCTAACCAAGATGGTCCACATGGCTAAAAATAGAACATAGCCGATGATGTATGATAGGGGTATTATGCAAATTTTGTCTATTATTTTGAAAAAAACTGTTATAAATAGAGAAAATCTGACAGAGCAAAAAAGTTCTAAATATTGAGCTCTACCAATTGTTCATTGATGTCAAAACTGTCAGGTGACTTCTTATTAGAGTTATTGCTCTTAAATGACAAATTTTACCATTTTTTTCATTTTTGCCTTTTATCTTGAAAACTATATTAGAGAGAGAGAAATTTAAGTTGCAAAAATGATCAGCAAGACAAGATCTACATTTAGTATGCATGGTCTTAATTGTCAATTGACTCCCAATTAGATTTATTGCCCATTGATGATGATTTTTACCATTTTTTTGCGTTTTTGCCTTATATCTTAAAAATTATAATAGATAGATAGAAACTTAAATGAGCAAAAATGATCAGCAAGACAAGATCTGCATTTAAGACAATATGGAGGAAATTTTCCAAACAACTCCTTATTGGAGTTATTCCCCTTTAATGACGATTTTTACCAATTTTTTTGTGTTTTGCCACATGTAGAGCAGGATCTGCTTACTCTGCTGGAGCACCTGAGATCACCCCCAGTTTTTGGTGGGGTTCGTGTTTGGTCAGTCTTTAGTTTTCTATATTGTGTTTTGTGTACTGTTGTTTGTTTGTCTTTTCTTTTTTAGCCATGGTATTGTCAGTTTATTTTCGACTTACGAGTTTGAATGTCCCTTTGGTATCTCGCCTCTCCTTTGCCTTATATGATAAAAATTATAATAGATACAACAATTATAATCAGCAAGGCAAAATCCACAAACAAGTCAAATTTTGCCGATATATTTAGTAGACTGTCATCTTCATAAGAGTGATTACCCTTAAATAAGGACTTTTTTACCCTCTTTTGTGTTTGAGCAAAAACTACAGTAGATAGAGAGAAACTAAACAGACTAAATGATCAGCAATACAAGATCAACAAAAAAGAAATTTTTGTCATGAATTCTATTCTTGTCTACAGTGTTGGAGAGAGTCCATTGTTGATTATGGATATAGACCTTGGTGAGCGACACAGGATCTTTAGAGCCTCTAGTTATATTTAGCAATAAACAGGTGTCTACAAAATGTCAAGCTGTAAATCATATTGAGTCTATAAAAGTTCGTTAATCATTGATCTTTGTGTACAAACTACTAAAATTAAGTTAACAAGTAAGGTTAGTGTAGCATCATAATTCATTGTATTTAATATTGCTCTCAAGAAACTAATATTTTATTCTTACAGCTACAGAGTTTGGCATTATACAGGTACCTTGTTGCAGCAAGTTTTGTTAGAGCAAAACCATGAATTGTGGGAAACAGCATGGCAACCAGCACCTAAAGGAGCTTACCCAGAGAGACCTATCAAATATGGTGTAGTACAAGCTCCAGTTGATGTACCTCAACCTGATGGTAAAAAGCTTTTTTAGATTCATAGCTAAATCCCCAAATCCCACTTGTAAAGAACTATAAACTAAGTAGTACTAACATGTGTTCTGGAAAATTTTATCACTGAATTTTGATTGTTTTTTGAGGTGTAGAGAGTTGCTATCATTTTTTCAGAATGTCAATACAAGTCACTACATTTTTCACAGTTTTACAATCTGGACTACATGCCATTTCACACCTGTTTTTTAATGAAAAAAAGTTGAAGAAAGATTTGATGCATGCAACAGTTCAGAATTGAAATGATTTTAATTACGAAAACAGGATTCCTTCTGTGACATTGTGTCCAACTTATTGTTATATTTGCCATTTTCTCTGCAAAAAGCTTGCTTTGTTTGTGTTTGTTAAGCATAACATTGCTTTAGGGAACAATTTTTTTAGAATATCAATAATTGAACAGGTTTCATCTTTTCTTGTTCTTTCATTCTAACAGATTGTTATTGATATATACTGTTCTCATTTGTTTAAATATCAAAATCAATTTGAAAGTACACAGGACAGGATTGTGAATGGCCAGTATTTAAATCTTAACAAGTATATGTGCCTTTTATTCATCCATTTATATGATATAATTTTGTTGACAAAGGTAATCCTTTGTGTCGTTTTGAATTTTTGCACTGACTTTCTTTTTAAAACTGAAATATATATAATTTCAGCCAAACAAAAAGCATACCGTCCACCTCAAGCAAGAGGAACAGAGGCATCAGTAAAACTACATGAATATGAAGCTGCATCAGATCCAACAAAGAAACTAAATCCTGGTGGTTAGTTCATATATTTTATTGATAAAAAAATCTGAAGCAGAATTTGTCACATAAATACTTTTCAAGTTTTTATACGCCCGTTTAAGGGACGTATTATGGTATACCGTTGTCTGTCTGTCCGTCCGTCGTCAACATGTCGGACATTAACTTAAAAAGGCTTTAACCAATTTGCATGAAACTTTAGTGAATTGTTTATATCTATTGACGTGAGCTCCCTTTCGTTTTTTATAAAATTTTGATTATACGTTTCCGAGTTATGAGGTTTTATTCATTAAAAAAAGGGGGGTTTTCCACTTTTCGGACAATAACTCATAAATGCTTTTACCAATTTGCAGGAAACTTTGGTGAATTGTTAATATCAATTGAAATGACATGAGCTCCCTTTTGATTTAAATAAATTTTAGATTGTACGTTTCCGAGTTATGGGGTTTTATTCATTATAAAAAGGGGGATTTTCCTGTTTTCAGACAATAACTCAGAAATGCTTTTACCAATTTACTAGAAACTTTGGTGAATTGTTAATATCTATTGACATGCGCTCCCTTTTTATTTTAATAGATTTTACGTTTCTGAGTAATGGGGTTTTATTCATTAAAAAAAGGGGTATTTTCCAGTTTTCGGACAATATCTCAAGAATACTTTCAGCAGTTTTCATTAAACTTTGGTGCTTGGTTTATATCTATTAAGATAACCTCCCTTTAGTATTTCATAAATTTCTTACATTGAAAAAGTTATTGTTTGTTTATAGTCTGACAACAGATTTACTAAGTATTGCGCAACAGCACAGTGTATTGCACAACAGCAAGAAATCTTTAATTGAATATAAATTCAATTCATATAACCAATTTCAAGTTCTTTGACTACATTTATTCAGAAACCTATAATATGTCAAATATTTAATTACAATCCAAATTCAGACCTATATCAAGCTTGAATATTGTGTCCATTTTATGCCCCAACTGTTCAGGGTTGGACCTCTGTGGGCGTATCCAGCTGCGCTCAGCGAAGCAGTTTATTCTTTATAATGTTATTCATATAAAAATATAAAAGAATATTAGGTACCTATTCCTTTATTGAAGAAATGAAAATTGAACCCATTCCATGTTGAATGATAGCCTGATTATAATTAAAGCAAAAATGATAATCAGAAAAATATGCACTAGCTGCATGAACAAAATATAACAACATTTTGAATCATCAATATTAATAACTAATGACATGTGGGTCAACTTTGTGACACTGGTGACTTAACAACGACTACTACTGGGGTGTTTACTGACCTATGCTATCCATGAAGGTCTTGCAGAGTTAGTAATGGCATAACAAATACTTTTACAGAAGAATCTAAAGCAGCAAGTAAAAACAAGAAGAAAAGGGAGGCAAGGAAAGCTAAGTCAGCACAGGAAGATGGTGTAAGTTATATTGATTTACTAGAGATTCATTTTATATGTAATTGATATTCTTATGATAAAAAAATCATTCTTTGATGAAAAGGTTAACATGGTTAATATTAGTATCAATACGATATATATTTTGACAAAATTGAGAAAAATTTAGGATTCAAACTTTTATTGAAATGCAATCATATTTCAAAGTTGTTTGATTTTGAAACCTATAAATATAATAGATTTTAGATAGTGTTTTAAAATAAAAATGGACTGAATTCAGCTTAGAATGCTATATACAGGTTGGTTGGAACATTTGTGTCTATTATATTACGTTTTGTTTGTATAAAATGATTTAGAATTATTATTACATGTATCAGTTGAATGTAGAATTAAAGTAAATATAATGTTGAATAACAGTCATACTCTGAAATGACATAGAACAAATTACCATTGTTGCAGTAAAATTGATCACCATGAGAATTTACTTGTTTGTTGATCCTTTCAATAAATCTGTTTCACATGTATCTATAACTTTTGATCTGAATGGATGATTGAGTTCAACTGGCAAAATACATACTTGTTTGACCAGTTACAATGCAAAATCGATACTTGTTTGACCAGTTACAATGCAAAATACATACTTGTTTGACCAGTTACAATGTAAAATACATACTTGTTTGACCAGTTACAATGCAAAATACATACATGTACTTGTTTGACCAGTTACAATGTAAAATACATACTTGTTTGACCAGTTACAATGCAAAATACATACTTGTTTGACCAGTTACAATGCAAAATACATACTTGTTTGACCAGTTACAATGCAAAATACATACTTGTTTGACCAGTTACAATGTAAAATACATACTTGTTTGACCAGTTACAATGCAAAATACATACTTGTTTGACCAGTTACAATGTAAAATACATACTTGTTTGACCAGTTACAATGCAAAATACATACTTGTTTGACCAGTTACAATGCTACTTCTGTAAACAATAACTGACAGCATTAAAATACATTTGAACTTTTTTATTTGATAGCAAGCAGAAACTGAAGCTACAGCCAGTGTTCCAGGGGGACCATCACTATCTGACTTAGGACGACCTCAATTAACTGGTGATCCAGAGGTGGACAAGAAAATTAAAAATATAAACAAAGTAGGTCTTAAGAAAATGTGTACATTTTGTAGCAACAGATAAGGGATAACCTGTTCAGAATTTCTCATGTTGATGAAAACAGCTTGGAAGTGCAATAGTTCTCTTTAGAGTTAGCACCTAAATTTGCCTTGATACTTCTTATTTTTAACAAAGGTTTCTAACAGAAATCCAGTTTAATATTGATTTGCAGTCTGGTGGATGGATGAATGGGAGGCTAGTTATTTCTGTCTATATGGAAATGAGACAGCAACCCAGCAATCACAAATAACAAAAAAATAACAAAAAACCAAAACAAAAGATATATACCGGTAGATGTCATGTCGGGTTGTAATCTTATATTAAGATACCCACCCTTAATGTTTTTGTTTCAAGGGCTATTTTATTTTATTAAACATCACTGAAGGAATATTTGCTTCTGTTGTATGCTATTTTTTTAATAAGGTGTCAATATGACAAAGTAATCCCCTCATCTCTTTGTGTCCAGATAAACTTTTACATGATAAGAAAAATATTTGAAAAAAATCAAAAGGGCAAAGCTACTAACCTTGCAATAGAGAGTTTATGTGTTATTATTGAATACAGTGGAGTAGAATGTAATGAATAAAATTTAATACCAATTTCTCTTAATTCATTGGTTTTGATTTTTTTTTCATTAGAAATTAGCTGCAATACAAAAACTCAAGGAACAACAACAGGCAGGAAAACAACTTGAAAAAAATCAGGTAAATATAATAAAATCAAGCCAGTTCCCTGGAACTTTGCAGGAAGATTGTAAATATGTTGAAATTGTGCATCTGCTATTATGGAATAGTTTGAGGAATTTTTCTCATTTTCCAGAACTTGGTCATTTGCTATAACTTGGTCATTTTCCATTTGAGACTTTGACTTAATTTTAATTGTGTCCAGGGAACACAGTTGTCGTCCTTTGATTTCCATTGTCTACAAATATGGTCCCTTGTGTAGTGATAGTGTATAACCTTGAAATTTTTTCATATACCTTCACAATTTATTTCCTCCTGTTTTAATGTCTCAAATAGCAAGTAGGGGGATAAAATTATATTGTAAAAAATTTTTTGGTCATTAACTCTCAAGTAAAGAAGTGATTTGGTCCAGTTGAAAAAAGGCCAAAATTATGTATGTCTGAAGCTGTCAAACTGAATTCATGGGCTTAACATAAAATTTTCTATATTTTGAGTCAGAGCTGATGAATTTTTCTATGATTTTGATACAATATGTCATAAAAGTAGTATACCATACTGTAAAAATATTATTGAGAAAGCACAGGTGCGTTTTTTTTAATTTGTATTTATGATCTATAAGAAATGCACTACAAAATATCTCTGTTCTCAAGGCATTTTGTTGTAAAAAAGTTATGGTCCTTTATTGATTTGAAAATGAAACTTTTATGTTGTATTGTGCAATAATTTATGAAACCTTCATTCAAATGCTTTTTCCATTTTAATATGTTGTTACCAATGACAAAATTGAGGTCAAGTTTGATGATTGATGATAACTTACTTTACAACTGTTTAACCAATGCTTTTCAATATGGCTGGCTTAATAATTTGTTTTGGTAACCATAATAGACTAATACATTGTAATAGTGGTAAATGTTTTACTGATCCTGCTGCAGTCATATCATGCTGCACCAAATCGAAGTCCCTTGTTTAATAAAATGTCCTATTGTTTTCTTTACAGTTGGACAAATTAAAGACAGAAGAATCTCTGCTAAAGGAACTGAAAGATCTAAAAATAACTTAAATAGTTCACTGCACATTTTCAATGAATTGTTTTACTCTACAGCAGATATCAGATTTAATATTTTGTTGCATGTAATTTACCTTGTTTAAAACTGAATAGATAAGTGTTCAGGTTTGTGAGTTGGTTTTATAAGAGAAAAGACAGAGACAATCTTTAATTTAATAGTTTCAAGTCTTTGAATAACTTGTCTGTCTACTGGATAATAAGGTGCATTTTCAAATTATTTTGTTTTATCTTAAAATGGCAAATAATCCAGACTTGTATTGCATAAATTGATTATGGAGTTCATGTTAAAACTGTTATGTTCAGAAAGATTATTAATATTATCAGAATATTTTGTTTTGAGTGATTTTTGTAATTTTACTTTATTTGCTCAATTAGCTAATGTTTCAAAACGTATGGCATGTTAAAATTTTAATTTGAATACATGAGTAGAAAATGTCCTGCTCTCTTAATTTGTATCAGGATTGAAGGTATATTACAGTTATACTATTGTAAGGATTTCATATGATTCTCTAAGATACATTGTATTAAATTCCATGGAATGCTAATGTTTTGTGCAACACCAACCAAATTTTAATAAGTTCCACAGAACATTATAACCTTCCACAGTAGTAAAAAAGGATTATTAATGTTATGATTATTGATACTAAATTTTCAAAATTCTTTGTTCATTTACTTTTAAAATAGTTCAATCATGTCAAATTAAAAAATCTCAATAAATTGGTCACTATTATACATGTATACACTATTAAAGATCTACAAAGCTTTCTGTTAGTCTACTAGTACTAAAAGCTGTGATATATAAACTTGTCAGTAAACTAAGTATTTAAATTATTGCTTTGTTATTGAAAGAAAAAAGGTTTGTTCAAACAGTTTGTTTTGTCTGTTTATTCATATTTATGAAAAATACAAATGCAACAATTTGCCAGTGTTTTCATTTAAAGCCATTTAAGTAACTGTTGTACCCACACATTATGTGACTTATTTTGTGCCTTAAATAAAACTAGAAAATTTTATATGGCTGTTAAATCTTTTGCAAATACAAAATGTAGCTTGTTGTTTTCACCTCATGGAAGTTTAATAAAGACAAGCAGTTTCAGCAATGACATTTTTCAACAGGCTTTGAACATAAAAACAAGATAATCAAAAACGATAAGTTAAAGATATTTTTTTTGTCATATAGCTCTTCATCTGTTTCGGTTCTTATACAATCTCCGCTTTGAGCGTTCCTTATGAAGGTAAATCCACTCCCCAAAGGTATCATCAGATCAGTAGTCAGTACCTTGGTACTGATATGATTTATAACAAACCTTTCTAAAAATTTTCCATTTATAAATTTTGAAATTATAAAAGAAACTAAACTTTCAACTCCCTCAGGCAAAGTTGACCTGTGATGGATTTAGCTATTTTCATACGACCGCAAAAAAATTTTTGTGGTCGTATATTGGTATGACGTTGGCGTCGTCGTCTTTCGGCGTCGTCCGAAGACACATTGGTTTTCGCACTCTAACTTTAGTTTTAGTGAATGGATCTCTGTGAAATTTTACCACAAGGTTCAATACCACAAAAGGAAGGTTGGGATTGATTTTGGGGGTTATGGTACCAACAGTAAAGGAATTAGGGGCCAAAAAGGGGCCAAAAATAAGCATTTTTGTAACTTCCAGACATAACTTGTGTGTTAGTGTATGGATCTCTCTGACATTGTACCACAAGGTTCCATATCACAAAAGGAATGCTGGGATTGATTTTGGGGGTAATTGCCTCAAAATTTTAGGAATTAGGGGCCAAAAAAGGGGCAAATAACGCATTTTTCTAGTTTCATGACAATAACTTGTGTGTAAGTGTATGGATCTTTATGAAATTGTACTACAAGGTTCCATATCACAAAGGGAAAGCTGGAATTGAGTTTAGGGGTAATTGCCGAAACGTTTAAGGAATTTGGGGCCAAAAAGGGGCCAAAAATAAGCATTTTTCTAGTTTCCAGACAATAACTTGTGTTCAAGTGTATGGATCTCTCTGAAATTGTACTGCAAGGTACCATACCACAAAAGGAAGGCTGGGATTGATTTTGGGGGGTAATTGCCTCAATATTTTAGGAATTAGGGGCCAAAAAGGGGCAAAAAACAAGCATTTTTCTAGTTTCAGGACAATAACTTGTGTGTAAGTGTATGGATCTTTCTGAAATTGTACTACAAGGTTCCATATCACAAAGGGAAAGCTGGGTTTGAGTTTGGGGGTAATTGCCCTAAACGTTTAGGAATTTGGGGCCAAAAAACACATTTTTCTAGTTTCCAGACAATAACTTGTGTTCAAGTGTATGGATCTCTCTGAAATTGTACTGCAAGGTATCATACCACAAAGGGAAGGCTGGGATTGAGTTTGGGGGTGATGAATCATAAGGGGGTTAAAAAAAATTGGAGGGGAGGGGGGATTTTTTTTTTTTTCCTTTTTTTTCTTTTTTTCCTTTTTTTTTCTTTTAAAATTTTCCGTTTTAAGTTGGTTATTTCTGATTTATATTTAAAAGCAAATAATAATGATATGGTAGGAGATACACACCAAACAGGATGTGTAAATTATTATATAATAAGTATTGTGCAATAGCAAGAAATTTTCAATTGCACAGTATTGCACAATAGCAAGAAATCTTCAATTGCACAGTATTGCGCAATAGCAAGAAATCTTCAATTGCACAGTATTGCGCAATAGCAAGAAATATCCAATAGCACAATATTGCGCAATAGCAAGAAATTGTCAATTGTACAGTATTGCGCAATAGCAAGAAATATTTAATTGCACAGTATTGTGCAAAAGAAGATACTTCGTATAAATTGCTTATTTCTTGACCAATTTCAATGGGGTTTTATTGTTGAATTCTTGGGGTTCTTTAATATGCTGAATCTAACCGTGTATTTAGTTTTTGGATTTTGGGCCCCGTTTTTAAATTGGTCCACATTGAGGTCCAAAGGGTCCAAAATTAAACTTTGTTTGATTTCATCAAAAATTGAATTATTGGGGTTCTTTGATATGCCGAATCTAACCATGTATTTAGATTCTTAATTTTTGGTTCCGTTTTCAAATTGGTCTACATTAAGGTCCTAAGGGTCCAAAATTAAACTTAGTTTGATTTTAACAAAAATTGAATTCTTAGGGTTCTTTGATATGCTGAATCTAAACATGTATTTAGATTTTTGATTATGGGCCCAGTTTTTAAGTTGGTCCAAATCTGGGTCCAAAATTAAACTTTGTTTGATTTCAACAAAAATTGAATATATGGGGTTCTTTGATATGCTGAATCTAACCATGTATTTAGATTTTTGATTTTTGGGCCCCGTCATCAACTATGTCCACATTGAGGTCAAAAGGGTCCAAAATTAAACTTTGTTTGATTTCATCAAAAATTGAATTCTTGGGGTTCTTTGATATGCTGAATCTAACCATGTATTTAGATTTTGGATATTGGACCATAATAGGTGAATGTCCAATTTAAAATTTTTAAGTTCTTAGACCACATTCATTCTGTGTCAGAAACCTATGCTGTGTCAAATATTTAATCACAATCCAAATGCAAAGCTGTATCAAGCTTGAATGTTGTGTCCATACTTGCCCCAACTGTTCAGGGTTCGACCTCTGCGGTCATATCAAGCTGCGCCCTGCGGAGCATTTTATTAGGTATTTTTTTTTGTCATATAGCTCAACTGTTTAGGTTCTTATACATCCTCGGCTTTCAAATATCCGGCTTTGAGCGTTCCTGATGAAGGTAAATCCAGAAAAGGGCTTTGGATGCATGAAATTATTTAATGTGTTTTCATTTTTTACAGCACTGGGTCGATACCTCTGCTGGTGGACAATCAGTCCCCAAGGGTATCATCAGCTCAGTAGTCAGTACTGACATGATTTATAACAAATCTTTCTAAAATTGTCCATTTACTGTAAATTCAGAAATTATTGCGATGTTTTTATTATTGCGAAAAATGCGACAGGGTAATAATCGCAATAATTTAAACCTGCATTTTGAAATTTTTTATATGAATTAAACGGGATTTTTCTCAATTTCGCGAAAATTAAAATCGCATTTTAGTCTAAAATAACAAAATCGCAATAATTTCTGAATTTACAGTATAAATTTTGAAATTTTAAAAGAAACTTAAGGTTTCAACTCCCTCAGGCAAAGTTGACCTTAGATGGATTTGGCTATTATTTAGGTATATTTTTTTTTTGTCATATAGCTCCTCGACTGTGTCGGTTCTTATACATCCTTGGCTTTCAAAGCCTTCCTGATAAAGGTAAATCCAGAAAAGCACTTCAGACGCATGAAATTATTTAACATGTTGTTTTCATGTTTTACAGCACTGGGTTGATACCTCTGCTGGTGGACTATCAGTCCCCGAGGGTATCATCAGCTCAGTACTTCGGTACTGACATGATTTATAACAAACTTTTCTAAAATTGTCCTTTTATAAATTTTGAAATTATAAAAGAAACTTAGGTCTCAACTCTACAAATACCAGTGAAAAACCAGTGATTTAGCAACACAAACCCTATCAAAAACCAGGAGTTGACTCATATGCTATGGATGAGTAAGTTGTTCCTGATCCACTAGCAATGTTGCTCATGTCAAGTAAAAATATGGTGATGAGTATCAAAACAAGGACAGGAGGATAAGATTCTGATTATGACAAGAGGATAAAATCTAGTCATTGATACTATTAATCAAATTATGGTGTCTGTAAATTTTTAGTAGAGATGACAATTTTGCCATTGGTTCAATAGCTTCCTTTGTAGCAGCAACCCTGTATCAAGGAAATTCTGAAAGGAACCAAGCCTTGAAACATGGTATCAACTAGGAAAATAAAAATATCCATCCTGTAAAGATATGAATTAGATGTAACTATTTTTTGTTTTCTTTATTTCAAGTTCCATATAGAGTGTATTAAAAATCACCAAATTTCGAAAAATTCAGCAAGATCTACATTTTCTAATCCCTTTTATGATACAAAATTGGAATACATTCTTTCTAAGTTTAGAATGATGAATAATTGTGTAAAGGGTACAGAAATCAAATGTTTTATACTTTTGCATGAAGAGTGGGACATAGATTGTAAGAACTCTAGTCTTGGGAATTGTTCTAAAATCTACATCCGATAAAGAAGCTTGTTTCACAGAAACTAAATCCTGGTTTCAATTGTTAATAAAAAATATGTTATTAATTTGTAAAAAGGTTGCTAGAAGCATTTGGCAGACCCTGATATAAACTGTTTGTAAGGACACTTATGTGATATTGTATCAGTACCGGATCCAGGGGGGGGGAGGGTTCTGGGGGGTTGGAACTTGGAACCCCCTTTTTTTTTACGATTAATGCATGTGAATGGGGACATATAGTTGGAAATCCCCCCCTTTATCCTGGGTTGGGAACCCCCCTTTTAAAAATAGCTGGATCTGCCCCTGAGTATATAAAGAGAAAATTTAGTTTTTCACCTTGGGTTGAAAGTCAAAAGGAATAGTAAGAATTGTAGGAGTATATGTTGGGATTCCTATTGACTTTTAAAAGCTATAATGTTGACTATAAAATATTTTTGCTTCCTGGATGGGATTGATTTGCTCATTTGTTTTACTATAAATGGTCTTTATGTGTCTTTAGTTTAGATAAAGTTGTTATTTTTGAATTATCAAACCAAGACTTACCGGGTACAGTTGTAAGAAAATGTCAAAACAGCCTACCATGTTGTAATGAGAAAAATATTAGTTTATAGGTTTTCCCTTTTCTAGGAACGTAAACTATATTGATAACCCTATGGATAGTTCAGAGACCTAATACAATTATTATACGTCTCTGGATAGGTTAGAACAATAGTAAACAATAGTGCACGCTGAAATGTCTCGCCTGTTTTACTTACTACTGAATTCGTGTTGAAAGTCTGAAATA